AAAACTAGTATAAGAATTTAAATAAAAAAGATTAAATAATACAAGAAGTCGTCAAAAATATTTTGTCTTTAGTTACTCAAAATTTTTATTACTTAATATATAAAAAAATATTTGGACATTCCTAAAATACGAAATTATTATGTAGATAATTAGATATGTAGTATGAATGATGCAACATAAGTATTACAGAGTGATTATTTAAAATGTAATATTAGATACGACAGGCGCAAGAGAAAGTAATATTACAAGTTATCAATATCTTGGCAGACCTTTTGAATCATCTACCATCTCAATTTACAAACAAATTTCTTCAAACTCTAGCAGAAGAAGCTTTTAGCTTTAATCTTCTTTCGTCACTACCAAGCTAACTTTTTTTTTCAACAGTTCCTAAAGCAAATTTTCACTGTTCCAAATATTTGCATTCCAGGTAACAAATCCTTGGACTTTTGATCACTCTAGAGAGAAGTACACGGAACAGAACAGTCAGAATCCAGCTATTCTTCATCAGTAGCAATTTTCTGCTTCTTCCATTTGTATGCAGCTTCTAGAATCTTGAGATTTGTAGCCTGAGATTCCTCAGGAAATAAATAGTCGATGTATTCCTCGTACCTATCAAAATGTTCACAAATTTTAGAATGAACCAAAGGCAACATGTGAATTAGTCAAAATCACTGGTGTATCTATCTCAGGATTTAAAGCGCTAAATTCACGGTGATAATAGTTAACAAAGGGATCCTAATGATACGGTTATTCTCTCCGCCCTGTAGGGCAGAGATTTCTCTCAGCTCGAGGAGAGAGTTTTTCTACCCATTTGGGTTTTTGGTGGGGTTGGGGAAGGGGGGTGTGTTGGGAGGAGGAATGGATCCAACCCAATTGTTATCGCTTAGCTTTTACCTATTATTAAATTAAATACTCTTCAAACTCCAACAAAGTCTTGCCAACACAAACAGATATTTAATAACACCACAAAATAATACAATAAAAACATTAGATAATCATAGACTATATATCTTAAGCTATTAGCTACATACCCAGATAAACCATCTTCGCTAGTAATCTGCCTCTTCTTTTTCAGTTTCTTTGGCAACTTGGACTGGACTATGCCAACATCTCCAAGCTCGCCAAAACTGCTCTCGATGTTCAACCACTCTTCTAGAAGCATAGCTCTTTCTTCCTTCAACTCAGATGCAGAGTCCTTGAAATATTGGTTGGCTCTTTCAAAAATCTCTGGAAAATGAGGAAACATTAAGAATTCGATCACAAGCACAAAAATCCAATGAAATTAAGCAAAGGAAGGAATGAAATTCGTCAAATAACTCACCTCTTGCATGCTCAATACATTCCTTCTTTCGTATTTGGACCTCATCTTCTGTTAGGCCTGAATTACTGCTGTCATAATCCACCGCAGATGCCTCAAATTTTGCATAACTGATCCACACTTTGAGATGCTTTGTTCTATCCAACAGTCTCTCGTAGAGAGCCTTCGTCCTCCCAAATTCCCCTTCTGCTATTTCAAAATCAATGTATGCCTGAAATAAGTAAGCATATTTATGGATTAATAAATCAAATAATCAAATAAAGTTTGAAAAAAAAAAAGAGAAATGTAAGATCTTTATGATCTCTACAGTTATATGAATTGCATTACTCGAGTAGCAAACATAACCTAGACAGGGACACACTCCAAGACCTCTAGCGCTCAGCAGAAGATGGATAAACCATAGATTTTTGGAATGATGGTTTCAACTCAAAGAGTACCCTACTACTATAAATTAATTCAAATCCAGAGACACAGGATGAAATGCATTGGAGAAACATTCAATCTGAAATAAGTATGATACAAGTTCCCACAACACACCTTCCATAACAACTCTGGCATGTCCAAGGCCGGTTGGGCAATAGCGAGCTCAAAAATAGCTCTAGCTCGCTCCATTTCACAGAGGGATCTCTCTAGCTCAGCATATTTGCTCCAAGCATAGCAATTTTCAGGTGACCACTCCAGATATTTCTCATAGAGTTTCCTACAACGATCCATATTACCAAGTTGTAGCTCGATTTCTATATACTTCTTAAATATCTGTTTGTTTAACCAGCCCAATAGTGAGAATGCATCAATTTAACTCGAAAAGAAAACATTTGAATAAGCAGCACGATCACACGTTACCTTATCCTTAGGAGCCTTGCCAATGGCAGTTCCCAAAATTTGACGAGCACCCTTGATGTTTAACTGTCGTATTTCAAATTGTGCAGCTAAAAGCCATATTTTTGCAAATGAGAATTTCTCATGAGGAATCAGCTTAAGACACTCTCTGGAAAAATTTCAAAGTGAGAATGAGAAAATCCCATTGGGCAGTAACAAAATAAATTTTTTTAAAGGAAAGTATAGCAGCAATGATTAATATCAGGAAAAGAATACAAAACGTATTTTTTTAAAGAAAAGTGTGGTAGCAATGGTTAATATTAGGAAAAGAAGACACGTTTAAGTCACCACAAATATCCACAGCCCAGAACTAAGAAAGAGGTATTTCAACTGCCAAAGTTTTTAAAATACTATAATGCAGCTTATTCCCTTATGGAGGCATAAAATTACATGAAACATAGAGTATCTTACACATCCAATCATGGGATATTTATGTAAGTTAATCTTGATGTGTTATTTGGGATATTTAGCTTATCTATAAACTATTAAGAACAGGCATATTATTGGTTTAGTATCCATTTCTTGTTCAGTTAGAAATTTTGTTTTTTTATTGATTTCCCATTTCAAGGGATTCAAGTTATACTAGGCTATGTAAGTACCCTGTATATACATTGGTGAGTCATCTAATTAAACAGACTGCTAACAAACAAAAATTAGTAAATTCCTTTCATAAAATTGAGTGCCTAACAGCTCTATCACTGTGACAACCCTATCAGTTGTTGCAAATTTTTGTGATTAGGAGTTGGATGTATCTTTCCTTTTTCTTAAGTTTCCTCTCGAAACCCTAGCCAGCTGTGGAATATCATATCACATTTGCTTTCCGCGTACGGACATTGCATTAAAAAGTGGCATAAGGAATCTTCCACAGTGGCCAATTAACCCAAATATGTGTTACAAATTAAACATCAAAATTCCAAAAAAAAAAAAAGAATGGAGATATACATTAAGTAAAGTCAAATATCATATCACATGCATTCTTGTGTCTGAGCTTCTTAACTCGTGTAAGATGATAGTTGCATACCAAAATGTATTTCCTACTAGTGTAAGATGATGCATTTGCATACTAAAATGTACCCAACACAAATAGTTCATGATATATGACAAATTAGGATTAATTAGTCTTCTTAAGGATTTTGGGATGTAACCTAGATTTTTTTGAGAGAAAAAAGATCCACTATGAGCATCAAGAACCCAAACAAAAGACATACAGAATTTAGTCTCCAACAAAAGAAAAGATCAAAGAGATCCAAAATATCAATACCATCAGAAATAGGTTCCCCTTAAAGCAAAATATAGAGAATTCGAAACCACTGATGTCTAATCTAAGAAAAGTGAAGAGGGATTGTCAAAAACTCTCCTATTTCTCTCTTTCCACGTGACCCAAAGAATAAGAAGAGGAATGATAGAGATAAAATTCTTAGATTTGAGGGAAGCAACATCACTCGCCTATAATTCTTAACTCAAGAAATCATCACCCAAGGTTTCCTACAAATTACACCTAAGAATCCCGAATCATCAAACTCGAGAGTCTAATTGCATCATGCAACTAGAAATATGGAGAAAATTCTCAGTAAGCTCTTCATTGAACAATTGGACCTCTTCTTAAAAGCGAGATTGGTATTCAGAGTGCTTGTTATGTAGTCTTTCCCAAATTTAAATTAGACTAAGAATTCTCAGAAGTACAAATACTAACACTAATAGTAATACTACTAAAGAAATATAATTGCCACTAAGAATAAGAAAATAAATCATATTTAACTTAAGAAAACATAACTTAGATCCTAAATAGTCAACTACAAATAGAAGTCCTAAACAACATAGTTGTTGCTATGCACCATCAATCTCCCCATGTTAAAAAACTCGATCCCTTCAAGCTGAGAGCATAAGACTTCTTGCTAAAATCAAGAGCTCGGGAACTTTCTACCAACTAACACACACCATGCTTCCTCTTAAAATGAGTACCATCTATCTGCTTATCCCTTTTAGTTTCTATCTTGCCATAATCTAGAGTTGTTCTTTTTCTTTACTAAAACAACACATTAGATTTATGGATCTCTTTCCCATCATAGTTCTCAGCTTTTTCTGGATACTTCTTATATAATGGCATTCATAGGTTGTAGAACAATCTCTCTTTTCCAAAATAATAATAATAATAATGTAGTTTCCCCTTCTGCTATGATGCATCTCTAAGTTGTAAAGCTAGGGGCAACAAGGAGGATACGTGGTAATCTTCACAAGGACAACATCACATAAGATAGAATCACTATGTGCACCTCATTAAAAAGGGCATAGAAAAAGCCATCTTCAATTTACCAGGACAGTTGTATTATCTATTAATTTAACCTTGTAGAGCTACAGACGTGTCTGTCGGAAGATTGAGATGCTTGACTGTTAAAGTTGATACCACATTCACAGAACTTAACTATTAATAACAAGTTTCTTTAGCTTTTGTTCTAGAAATAACAAGATTTCAAGATATAAATGTACGATACAATCATCTTTCTCCACTTCAAGTGCTGATAAGATGTGTCTCACAGAAGACAAAGAGAGGTGTCTGCTTCTTAATTATCAACTAAACTGTCATTCTCATGTGGCCATCCTCTGTTGGCATCTCCTTTTAATATAACCTGACATGCAATATATTGTTCTTTGCCACTGCAGCCCATATGTCAGTATGCCCACACTTTCGTTTTTGAAATAACAGTATGTCCACACTTTGAAACAAACAATTTCAAATTACCTTGGGGATAACTGCTAGAAATTGATGTTTATCTATTCTTCGGCCTACCATTTGATTCATATGTCTCCTTAAAATAATAATAAAAATGTCCCATAGGTTGTAGAACAATCTCTCTTTTCCAAAATAATAATAGCAATGTATTGTTCCCTTATGCTATAATGTATATGCCAGTTGTAAAGCTAGGGCAAGAAAGATGGACATGGATAACTTTCATAGGAACAACATAACATAAGATAGAATCCTATGGGGCACCTCAATAAAAGAAAAAAAGAGTCTTTTGACTCTTTGAGTGACCAAATAGTTGTATTATCTGTTGATGTAACTTAGTAGAGCTACAGATGTGGTTGTGTTGGAAGATAGAGACGCTAGGCTGTTGTAGTTGATACTACATCCCACAGAACTTCTACTATTAATAACCATCTTTTTAGCTTTCGTCCCACAAATAACAAGAGTTTAAGATATAATTGTACAATGCCATCATCTTTCTCCACTTCAAGTGTCGCTAAGACGTGTCTCACTATAGACAAAAGAGAGGTGTCTGCTTGTTAATAATCAACTAAATCATCATTCTCATGTTATGCATAACCATCCTCTCTTCTTGGCATCTCCTCCTTTTGATAAAAATACTCATTAAAGACACTGTTTACATGTCAGGCATATATTTCCAAGCTTTCATATTAAATTACCAAAAAATAAAACAACTTCTAATTTTAAGTTAATAGCACAAACATTTTAGGTGCTTGATCAACTTTCTACTTTCTTACAACATAATACAAACCAGAAGCATGGTCATAGACTCTTAAAACTTGACTCAATGTTCATCCATCTAACTTCTATAAATTAGGGAAAATGACACAACCATGTTAAGGATCCTAAATGCCTAAATCCTTGAATGCAATCCTTCCCCCATTTTTAAAACGAACGAAAGAAAGAAAAACGGGAAGCGCCATGAGTTTAATGCAAGCGGGAAGATCCATCTCAGACACAGTCGGCTGCTGGTTTTGTCTTGTATGGCGGCAAAACCGCCTAGAAATATGTGTTCCTATACATTTGGTTAGATACTGTCCCATGCAATATTGCAAGACAGAGAAAGAGCTCGCAGATATCTTCACCAAAGCATTACCAAGAACAAAGTTCAAGATATTAAGAAATATGCTTGGCTTGGAGTAATAAAAAATGCATTAAGGGGGAGTGTTAGATTACATTCCATAGCTAAAGTGTATCAGAAAAGGAAGAAAGAGTGTGTTGTTCAGAATTATTCGCTCCCAGTTTTAGGGTCCAAGTGTCCCATTGTTTTGTAGGTGTTTTGGTTGTGGCAATATGAATTGAAATAAAGTTAGTCAATCATAATTCAGAAATATTTGAATGTCTTGGTAGTTGTTACAGTTGACTAAGTCTAGGAAGTTAAGGTTAAACAATCGGGCAGTTCCCATGTTCTGGGAAAACGGCAACTGACCCTATCCTCCCTATTGTAATAAATCCTTTTGTCTGATCTCAGAATACCTAAGAAAGAAACCTACTAAAATGTTAAGCACCTACGTACTCAAGAGACCATTTGGTTCTCTTTTAACTATCTCTAAAATTAGATCCAAATTTAGAAAAAGACAAAATCCAAAAACAGTCAAATTTATCTATGGATTTCTATGCAAATCGACCATAACTAGATCCATCAATAGGGAATCTATCACAACTGAAGATGGCAATTGACAGAATAAGGCTGTTGCTCCAATACACAAGGAAAAACAAAGACAGTCTTGAAAATATCATTCACCATGCACTCAACCCTATTCACTCTCACAATAACTATATTCCAAGAATTCAAGTTGATAGGTCACTACCAAAAATCAAAATGATATCAGGATATTTATGAGTGCAGAGGGGGAGAGGATGGAACGGAATGGAAAACCGAGAGCGGAATATTTACTCTTGTTTCAGATACTATTCCTTAATGGAATAGAATGGAAATGAAGAGGAACCATTTCCACTCATCTGCATCAAAGGCCAAGAGAGAACAGATGGAATAAAAATAACCATAATTCTTTTATTATGCTGACAGATAGTTAGGGGTTATTATTATCTTTTTTATATTAATAATCTTAAATTTGACTCTTTCACAAGATAAAATATCTTACCTATTTCAATTACTGCCTTATCCAAGCAACATAAATCATTTTCCACTTAATTACATCCATGATTGGTTGAAAAATAACCCCTCTGAATTATTAGCTTAATAGACTTTTTACCAATAAGTGCAAATGGAGAGTAAACAAACAGATGCTTTAGAACTTATGTCACCAACCGGTTCTACAAGCAACATCTCAACAGTAGAAGCTTTGGAACAAGAAAGAGTTCACAATGATGCATGTTGTTCTCCGTTTAAGTAACATACCTATAAACATCTCTGGTGCGCTCCATATCTTCTGCATCAAGCTCTTCATACAGCGCATAATTAATCCTGGATGGCAGAATAATGTGAAAAGCCAGCGACAAATAACAAACTTAATCCAAATCACAAAACAGAAATTTTGGGGGAAAAAAATACTCACCACAAGTAAATGTATCTCTGCCAGTACCGCTTCTCCTCAGCAGGTGGTACATTGGCAATGGCTCTCTCATAAACTTCTCTAATCCTTTCCTTATTTCCCACACTTTCTTCCAACCTAATATAATCAAACCAAGAATCATAATTCAAAGGATTCTTCCTTACCTCGTCCTCATACTGAAACCTTCTCTTACCCACAATGGCATCCTCAATCCCCTCTTTATCCCCATACTGCTTCTCAAAAGTCATGAACTTCTTATACAAATCCTCTGCTCTCCCTTTGGGAATGTGATCCAAAGCAAACTTATAAATGCACCTTGCCCTCTCTACCTCTTTGCACCTCTCCTCGAACTCAGCAAACGCCACAAACAACTGTTCCGCCTCCTCGTCCTCTGCCAGCTTCTCCACAGCATGTTCATACACGCTCCTTGCCCGAGCCACCTCTCCATTCTTCATCTCAAATTTAGCATACCGTATCCACGCCGAAACCTTGGGATGGCATTGTATGAACCGCTCAAAGATACCTCTAGCACGATCCACCTCATTGTACCGAAGCTCAAACTTGATGTACGACAACCAACCTTGCTGGTCTGGGGACCAATTCATCCACCGCTCAAAGATCTGCCTAGCACCAGCTACATTACCTAGCATCTCCTCCATGTGTATGTACTTGTACCATAGCTGGTCCACCCTGGGAAGCAATGTCACTGCCCTGTCCCAAACGTTCCTGGCGTGGTTTATGAACTTGTTCCTCATCTCCACCTCCGCGTACTTCAACCAGAGGGTATGGTTCCGGTAGTCCACCTCCAAGGCTCGTTCCCAGACAGAGCGAGCACGGTTGAAATCCTTCTGGGACTCCTCCCATTGTGCGTACTTAACCCAGACGCTAGTGCTCCACCGCGCACGACGAATATGGTCCTCAAACTCTTTCCGCTTGCGGATCCTATAATCAGCAAGCTCGGTGGAATCAGTGATCTTCTGCTTGGGGGGACGGATTTCTGCCTCCTGCCGCTCGCGTGCCTCCCGAAGGATTTGCTCGGCTGTGATTTGCACAGGAGCTGGGGTTTTGTTCTTGACCCGAGTCGGACGAGGCAACTTAACCTCAATGTCTTTTCGAGTCAAGTAGCCGAGAGAGGGATCAGCCTCTTTCCCCGATGACATGGTAGATACTTGATATTCAGAACCCTGAAAGGTGATCGAACTTCCTCAGGTCAGTGAGGAATTGAATTCCTTAACCCTATTTGATTCCAGTACACCTGATTCTGCAGCAGCCAAATAGCCTAGCCACGAGCATGCCCATGTAAATGTTCAAAGATTTATAAGGATTTATTTTTACCAAATATCTAGAAAAGTATTGTATAAACGTACTTAATCCACCAAAAATAATATAATTAGATGCATATTTTATTCATGCATATTTAAAAAATTATCAAATAATTAATTTTTTGTATTTAAAAAAATATTTTATTCACCCATCTAAATGTCACGAGACATTTATCAATCTTTTGTAATTTAAAAAAAATATTGTAAAGACAAATTATCAAAAAAAAATATTTATCAAAAAAATATTTCATAATTAGATGCATACTTTATTCATGCGTAATTCCAAAAATTATCAAGTAAGTGATCTTTTATCAATTTACAACAGCCCAATTTCTCATACAATAAATCTCCAAATAAGAAGCCAATGAAACACACCAAAGTTTTAAAAGCATATATTTCTATTATCCCAAAAAAGGCATGGTCTTTGAATCATATCAAGATATCGTGCACACGTGTCTAAATTAAAAGAGAAAAGTTGGTCTTTTTTCCCATCTTAAACCCACCAAAGGTCAATCATTTCCAACACCCACACAATAACTTTCTTCATTTACTAACCATGAATCAACTCCTTACTTCTAGAGTAGCAGGCAGCAGCCAAGACAGAAAATAAACATGTAAGGAAATTTAATTTATTCACAATAGATCCCATTTTCCTATTCTTGAACTTCGAAACCAAAATGCTATTTATTGGCTAACCCAATGCCTAATAAAATCAACTAGACAAGTTCTTCTCCAAAACCTCAAAACTGATTCATGATCACCAAGCCACTTTCCAGTACAGTCCACCTCTTTATTTTGAAACCATAAAACGAAAAGATGGACACATTACACAAAAATGAAATTTAAACAGTAGCTAACTATGCATAGAAAATGGATGTTCTAAAACAGTCATGGCTTCCATTAGCGAGCTCCTCAAATCAATAAACAGCCAATAGTAAGTCAACAAAACAGAACAACTTCTAATATGGTGAACAGAAACTCAATCTAAACAACCATTTTGTTCAAACACAAATATCAGGGAAAGTGCCAATAATTGGAATGACAGAGGGCTTTTTTTATTAAACTAGCACCTTTAGCTATAATTTCTAAGGCAAAAACATTTTAAGAAGAAAAGAGAAAGAAAAGGGAAACCAAGAGCGACAAACATGAATTAAAACCTTCAAGAATGGATTATTAACAGAGACCTAAAGCTAGTCTAAACAGAGGATTGAAATGCGCATGAAATGGCCAGTCTTTTAAGCCATAAAGGATGCAACTCAGTGGTAGGCGGGTATGGAAGTGGCTGTAAGAGCATGGACATCCCCCTTTTTTACTGCTATTAGCTTCTATAGACAAACACTAGAGACCTTCTGCCTTTGCCCTATCAATCATTTTCATCCCGAATCATGAGTAATGACTATGACACCTAGAGAGGAGACCTAAGAAGGACGGATAGAAGGGAACCTATGGGAGCCCAATTCTGGTTATTGACTCATTGGAGGATCTCTAGTTAGTATCTAATATGTTGGGGCCTTTAGGTTACCAACTTCAGAATGGTCCCTACTTTTCCCAAAAAGAGACAAGGAAATTACCCAAAAAACCAAAATATGAAAGGGATTGTAAGAAACTGAGACATACAGGGAGGTTAGGTACATCACTAGATATTTACCAAGATGGAATGAATCCTTAGCTCGATTACAGAATCAGAAGAGGGTTGCTGCCCATCAATGATTCAAGTATGAAAAGAGAAATTTTGGAGGTGCAAAGGTGGCAACTTGGAAAAACAAATGAAAGGAATGTCTTTGGTTGGGTAATTGGTCTCAAGGGCTAGTCTAGTCTTCACAGTGATAGAATCCCTATGACGGAAAAATTGATTTTGCAAAACCCTTTCAATCTTTCATGCTGCCCTCTATTGAGCACAAAGTATTTACCCTTGAAATATGCATACTAAATGCCTTGCTTCATCATACCCCCCTACCATTTCATACATATGCAAACAGTATATTCGAACTTTGTCCATTATGTATCAGTACGTAGAACAAAGTAAATTCATTACCATAACCGAAATCTTGGAAGAATTTATGCATAGTAGGAAATAAGTCATAGACATCGTTGAACAGACCCAAAACGCTCCAAACACCATTTAAGCTTACTTATTTCTTAACATTCATTTTAGCAGAGTGTAGACCAAAAGAAAATAGACTGATTCAGCGGTCCAATCATCGTTCTAATAGGAAGTAATCCAAACAGATAAATTCATCTTATATTAGCACACAACAGAGCAGAAGCAAGCAGTATCATTCATATTGATAAATCACGGGTATAAAAAATTCCTGTTCCACTCATCATTCAAAACGTATACAACTTACTAAACTAGTAGGAAGAAGAAAAGAGAGAGATTTGTACCACACTCGAACACTTCTTGTGGTTGCTTCCAGATGGCTAAACCCGTGCAAAGGCACTCCCTAACCTCGCTTGTTCCTGATCTCCCTCCTTTCTTTTTCAAAATTTCTTATACCCAGGCTATTCGGCCTCTCTCCTGTTTTTCTTCTGCTACTTTCTTCTCTCTTCTTTCTCTTACCATGCTCCTCCCTTGCTCGAGTGACCCTTTCTCCCACTAGACCGTTTCCATCGCTCCTTCCTTCAAAGACACCGGAGTTTCCCCTTCTTTCCGTTTTCTTTTTGAAAACCCTCGAGCCTTTTGTGTCGAGGAAGCCTCTGATTTCTTGTGAGGTGTTTGGATGACTTTCAATATGGTTTATTAAGGTATGGTATTATATGATAAGTGGGATGATAATGTTAAATTTATATTATATTTAAAAAAAATTATATATTAATATATGATAATAATCATTATTTTTATTTAAACTGATAAATGATATTATTATATATTTAATTAAATTACGTATTATTCTTTTTTATTGAATGTAATAATAAATAAAAAAATAAAATATATATATAATTAAATAAATATATATTAATTATATATATGTATATACATAATAAAATAAATAATCATCCAAACCTTTAAGAAGAAGAAGAAGAAGAAGCATCGGGTAAAGAAAAAAATAAATGGGTATAAATATAA